TGGGAATACTATGCAGCCATAAAAAAGATGGATCTCCTACCCTTTGAGACAGCATGGAAGGACCTGGAGATAATTATGCTAAGTGAAATAAGCCAGTCAGATAAAGATAAATATCACGTGATCTCACTCATTTACGGAATATAATAAACAACATAAACTGATGAACAAAAACAGATCCAGAGTCAGAGAAGCATCCATCTGACCATCAAACCTCAGAGGGAAGGTAGGGGAGGGTGGAGGTAAAGGGGAGAGATCAACCAAAGGACTTGTATACATTCATATAAGCCTAACCAATGGACACAGACACCAGGGGGGTCAGGGCATAAGTGTGTGGGGGGAGTGCAGGGGAGTGGGGGGGGATAAGGACACGTAATACCTTAATAAAGAAAAAAAAAGATCTATACATTAAAAGTCATTGGTCCCTTCCTATCTTATACTTTGAATGGATCTTTTATCCACATCTGATTTTTGAATCATCATGCATTGGTCATTTGGAAAATATTTATTTACTAAGTTATGCAGACCTTCCAGATGTTGACACATTTTATTATACAATATCAAAAAATCACATTCATTACTATCACCACTGATCTCAACAGTCTTTAAGTATTAGACGCTGTCCTCATGCTCACAATAGCAGAAATGTTTTCCAAAATTCTAATTTTTTGTATGAAACCCAAGTTTTAGAATTTATAACAAATACTATTAGTTATTTCCCTTGAAAATGATAGTTTTCATTTTTGAGAAAAGTCTACTATGTACCTAAGTGTGAATAACTATTGTTTGTCTACCTTTATCTCTTTGTGCTTTGACTTTTTTTTTCTCACTGAGTAAAGGCTTTCACTTCACTGCACCTGCTGTCTCTTTTGCTGCCACCTCTGCTATTTGTAGCTTTTTTCAACTTTCTCGTCTCTTAATACTTCTTGATTTCACTCAGAAAGCCCAAATTTTTATAAAGATCAGCTAATCAGAGTGGTTCTGGTTGCCAAACCAAGCAAACAGTGTATATAGCCTTTTTTTTTTTTTTGAGTATTTAACTCTTTGCTGTGTTTGTTGCTGCTTACTATTCAAAAGTGTTTACCAATCAGAACAGTACTTGATCCTTGTGAAGACCAGAGGCTAGTCTTTGAATAAATGAGGTTTTACTGTACTGTTAAGTGATTTGTAGTTGTGATTTGGGCCAATGTACAGTTCATTTTTTATCATTATTAATACACATACTGAGGATCTCTATTTTTAAAATTCTCATCTCTCTATTTTTTAAATTCTCATCTTCTACAAAGAATGAAAAAATAATAGAACAACAACTTCTGGATCAACTGAGTGGAGAACCAACAAAACTTAACCTGTCAATGACTTCTTCAGCTAAGGAAATTTGTGGAGATGGGCCAGATGCCAGGATACCAGAAAAGAGACCATATACTGTACCGTTTGATGCTCATTTGGGACGTTATATTTGTATCCCAGAAAGATCAGATGCCAGGAAGGTAACGTCAAAACATTAATCTCATATTTAAGATATTAAAATATTATATGTAATAAAATATCACAGTATATTTGTATAGTCTCAGCACGTAGTTTGGTTTGTGTTTGATTTTATGGATTTTTGTGTGTGCTCTTTTAATCATGTAATGCTTTTTAATAAAAAAAACAAATAGAATGTATAGTTATATTTAGAAGGAATAGTTGAAGGTAATATCTACATTCATCAAGGAGAAAAAGCTATCCTTTGCCATCATATTTTTAGTCAGGATTAATAAGTCTGATATCTTCATGAATTTTTTTTCTTTCTTTAACCACACCAAGTTGAGATGAGGTTGGAGGGTATTTATTTTTACCCATTTGGTTTGTCTTACTATTTTCCAAATGACGTTTATGTATTACTCAGTCTTGCCAAGCTGACACTTCAAGATTGTATAAAGATCTGTATGAACTTTTCTTTTAATATACATATTTTTTAATTTCAGAGAGGAAGAGAGCGGGAGAGATAGAAACATCAATGATGAGAGAAAATCACTGATTGGCTGCCTTCTACTGGGGATCAAGCCCACAACCTGGGCATATGCCTTGATCGGGAATCAAACTGTGACCTCCTGGTTCATAGGTCAATGCTCAACCACAGAGCAACATCAGCTGGGCTGAACTTTTGGTTTTTTATTTACTTGTGAACATGTGTGTAGTAAATATATGCACACACATTTCTCTTAAAAAATCATCAGGTTATCTCTACATGGAATAGACTAGCCAGACTCATGAATTTGGCTTCTGTTAATTTTATGGAGATGATTTGTTTGAGATCTATGTGATGGTTATAGTCAAAGGGATAAGAAATATGCTAGGTGTCATAGACTTTGCAATCAGGCAGGCTTGGGGTGAACACCAGCTCTATTGCATAGGCCTGCATATGACTAAACCTGTGGGAGCCCCAGGTTCCTTATATGTCAGAATGGGGGAAACATGGATGTGTATGGAGGATTTAAATGAGTTGATGACTCTGAAATTGCCTAGTACATTGTGTCCTCAATAGATGTCCACGGAGTGCCTTTACTATGGTCCAGATTCAGTACCTCAGAGTGATTAAGAACGACAGATGTTATTCTCTGTGGTTTTCAATCAAGTGATTGAATTAAAAAATGAAATCATTATTAATTTCAGTTTTACTTTGTAGGATCATTGACATTTTTCTTATGGTTGAATATATGGTACCTTTTTATAGAACATTTAGGAAAAAAGATAATTCTTCACATAATTCATGTTGTCTTTATTTTCAGTTTAATACTTACATATCAAGTCATCTATATTTAATTTTCTGTTTTTTATATTGGCAAGTTATGTGAAAGTATTTCCGGTTCCATATAACATTTGTGTGTTTTTTTATTACAAAAGTTGCACATACTTATTCTCTCCCTCTCTTGGTCTCTGTTTTTTATTTTATTTATTTTTAAAATATATTTTTATGGATTTTAGAGAGAGAAGAGAGAGGGATATAGAAGTAGAAACATCGATGAGAGAGCAACATTGATTGGCTGCTTTCTGCATGTTCCCTGATGGGAATTAAACCAGTGACCTCTTGGTTCATGGGCCGATGCTCAACCATTGAGCCACACTAATCAGGCTAGGGGTACACATATCTTTGCAAATAGTATACAGGTAAATGAAAGAAAAAGTACTAATATTATGTACTATAACGTAATATGAAAAAAAGAAGAAAAACTCATTTGTCTCAGTAGATACCAAAAATTGATCTGATGAAATGCAAAATTAAATCTTGATTTAAACCTAAAATATAATAGAGATTTCTAACTTTTTAAACATTGAAATATGATATAATTAAAAGCAAAAGCCAATGCTGTACATACTAAAAAGGCACTTTGGAAAGAAAAAAATTACAAAGGCGGTCCCAGTCATTATTTAGGTTAAGTATAATACCGCCACTGCTGATGAAAACCTACCATAATTCATTGATTATTGACATAATTGTATACTAAGAAAACCAATTGAAATATCCTTAAGAGATATATTTAAAAACCTTCTGGAATATCCAGATTCACAAAAGTAGAATACTTATAAAATTGTAAAATCTTTTTTTTCCCCGAGAAGGCATTACATTTAAAAACTTATTATTTTATTGATTTTAGAGAGAAAAGGGAGAGAGAGAAAGAAATATCAGTTTGTTGTTCCACTTATTTATGCATCATTGGTTGATTCTTGTATGTTTCTTCACTAGGGACAGAACCATAACCTTGGTATATCAGGAGGATGCTCTAACCAACTGAGCTACACAGACAGGCCAAATTACATTTTTTTGAGTCACAAAATTTCTGTGCATAACCCCTTTTCAGTCTTACTATGATATAGTCTCTCATGTCACCAGCTTTGTAGGCCTTTCTTTCCCAAAATGAGCTAATTCTTAGGAATGATTTTCCTTCTAATCGGCCTTAAGGGCTCTCTGTTATATCAAAGGTCCTCCAGGGCAGTGCCTATTCTTGAGAGCCCAACTAACAATGTTCAGATTATAGTGTTATTTAACAATGTTCGAGGCACATTATCTTTTTAACCTAAAAAGTTTAGAGTTTCTAAATTCCCTGGGGAGGTTGATAGATGATATGGGCTCAGGAAAAGAGAATAAAGCAGGTAGCAATATGACTTTTACTCTAGGACTAGGAGCCTGTGCTTTGCTGTTTTTTGTTTTAATCTTTTTTTCTCCTTCCTCTTAAAGAAGACCCTTTAACATTTCATATTATATTGGTTTGGTGGTAGTGATCTCCTTTAGTTTTTCCTTGTCTGGAAAGCTCTATCTGTCCTTTGATTCTAAATGATAGCTTTGTTGGGTAGAGTAATCTTGGTTGTAGGTCCTTGCTTTTTATCACTTTGAATATTTCTTGCCAATCCCTTCTGGCCTACAAAGTTTTTTTTTGGATATCAACTGACAGTCTTATGGGAGCTCCCTTGAAGGTAACTAACAGCTTTTCTCTTGCTGCTTTTAATATTTTCTCTTGTATTTAACATTTTGCATTTTAATTATAATGTATACTAGAGGCCTGGTGCACAAAATTTGTGCATAGGGTGGGGGTTGTCCCTCAGCCCAGCCTGCACCCTCTCTAATCTGAGACCCCTGTGGGATCGGACCTAAACTGGCAGTCAGACATCCCTCTCACAATCTGGGACTGCTGGCTCCTAACTGCTTGCTCCCTGCCTGCCTAATCACCCCCTAACCACTCCCCTGCCTGCCTAATCAATGCCTAACTGCTCCCCTGCTGGCACAGTCACCCCCAACTGCCCTCCCCTGCTGGCCTGTTCATCGCCAATTGCCCTCCCCCACTTGCCTGATCACCCACAACTGCCCTCCCCTGCCGGCCATCTTGTGGTGGCCATCTTGTGATCACATGGGGCAGCCATCTTGTGTGAGGGTGTGGTGGTCAATTTGCATATTACCTCTTTATTATATAGGATTGGTGTAGGCCTCTTTGGGTTCATCTTGTTTGGGACTCTCTGTGTTTTCTGGACTTGTATGTCTTTTTTCCTTCATTATTTTTTTTTACATAGGCTTTCAATTCCTTGCACACACACTTCTCCTTCTGTCACCCCAATGATGTGAGTGTTGGTATACTAGTACTTGAAGTTGTCCTAGAGGCTCCTTAGACTAACCTTGTTTTTTGGATTCTTTTTTTCTTTTTGCTGTTCTGCTTGGGTGTTTTCTGCTTCCTTATCTTCCAAATCTCTGATTTGATCCTCTGCTTCATCTACTCCACTGTTGATTCCCTGTAATATATTCTTCATTTAAGTTAATGCAGTCTTCTTTCTGACTGGTTCTTTTTTATGGTTTCTTGTTCTACTTTATGTTTCCTATACATTGAGTCTGCTGGCTGACGCTCTATCCACTGAGCCAAACCGGTTAGGGCTGTTTCCTATATCTTTGCTGAAGTTCTCACTAAGTTCATCTACTCTCTGCTAAGTTAATTGAATATCCTTATAACCAGTGTTTTGTACTCTGCAGCTAGTAGGTTGTTTGTCTCCATTTTGTTTAGTCCTTTTTCTGGAGTTTTGTTCTCTTCTTTCATTTGGGACATGTTTCTTTGTCTCCTCATTTTGGCAGTCTCCCTGTATTTCTATATATTAGGTAGAGCTGCTGTACCTTCCAGGCTTAGTAGAGTGGCCTAATGTACTAGATGTGCTATGGCACAACCTCCCTGATCACTCAAGCTGGGCACTTGAGGTGCACTCCCCCATATGGGCTGTGTATATCCTCTTGTAGTTGAGCCTTGATTGCTGTTGGTATATCACTAGGAGGGATTTATCCCCAGGCCAAAGAGCTGCAAGGACTGGCTGTGACCACTGACCTCTGACCACAGCGGAGGATTAGCTGTGCAGAGGCTCGCCCCATAGAGCACAACTTATTTCAGCAAGGCTCTGGTGTCCACTGAGTCTGTCCCTTGAGTCTGTTGCTTATGGAGGTGGTTGGGTGGTTGTGCTTCAATGTTGTCTGAAGCTGTCCACTGGGAGTGCTGGCTCTGGGGACTCCTGGGAAGTACAGGCCAAGGTCAGCTGCTGCCTGTGTTCTGCTGGGGACCACTCGGCATTGGCTACAAAGTGATCTGCCAATGGCTGCTACTTGTGCTGGACTTGGAGGTGCCCAAGCAAGGCCATGTTGTGAACCAAGGCCAGCTTCTACTAGTGCCATGCCTGGAATCAGTGAGAGATACGGGGCTTGCTGAGGCCAGATGCTGCTTGTTTGAGAGATTTTAGGAAAATCTGAAACATGAGCCAAGACAGACCATTTGTATGGAAAAGCCTCTGGGAACAGATTGGGTGGGTCTGAAAATTGGGTGGGCATGTCCTCAGAGAATCACCAAGGTGGAGCAAATAGTGTGAGCCAGGTTGATAAGAGTCTCAGATATGTCACCCAACTGTGCGCTCTGCAGGGGAAGGGGCTTATCAAAAGAGCAGTGGCTTCTGGCAGCACCTCTGTCTGGGAAAACCTGCTTTGCAGATCTTACCCTGATGCTGGACAATTCATTTCCTGTCTGTAACATCTCTGATGTCTTTCAAGCTGCTGCCCTAGGGCTTGAGCTCAGAGGGAATACTATGAGTGAGTCTTTGTGTGGTCTATTTAAGAGGAACTGCTTGGGACTCCAGTAGCCCTTCATCTCACTTAGCCTCAATACCTGCTGGTTTTTATAGCTAGAAGTTATGGGGACTTTTCTTCCTGGAATGGAACCCTAGGATGGGAGGACTGGGACCCCTTGCTTCTTAGGGGAGACCTCTACAGCCAAGATATCCCTCCCAATTTTTATCCACCATATGTGGATATGGGACCAGCCATTATGCATCTCCACCCCTTCTAGCAGTCTTGATGTAGTTTCTTTAATTTAGTTGTTCTGTAGTTTAATTGTAATTCTGATGTGATTGTGGGAGGAGATGAGTATTGCTTCCATCTTGACTGACAGCTTCATGTTATAATATTTGTAATAATTTATATTAATAAGTTGCATGTATCCTGTACGGTTTTATTATTAACCTTTTTTGAGAAATTACTCTGAGATTTGGTTACAAAGAGATGGTGAAAATAAATATTTGGTAACAGAAACTAGAATAAAAGTATAAAGGCAATTTCTAATTCATTGTTATTTTCCAAGCTCATTTTTTGAGAAGTTAAGGTTCATTGTCAATAGAAGCATGTTATAATACAGAAAGTTCTCAAGTTAGCTCATGAACATTTAATTATTCTATGAGACATTGTAAATATGTCACTTAGAGTACTAACACAGCTATGCCTAACCACCACATGTAAAGTGTGAAGAAATACACTTGGATTTCCAAATTGGGAACATTTTGACTTAGAAGTGGAGAGGCGATGGCTCTGCATTTCTTCATTTGGTGGATTTGGATTGGAAGGGGATACAGACCCTGAGCAGCAACACCATAATTCTCCAAGTGTTCAGAACTGGGAAGGTTGATGGGGTGTAAAACAGTTGCCTCCTATTGCACTATGTATGGGCTTTGCACTCATTGGGGAGTACCTGTGCTGTGATTTTTTAGTCTTTGCTTTCATAAAAATGAGTCCAAATGGTATTAAAAAGAATACTATTTTCCATGAAGCTGTAGTTAAAGATAGAACTTTTTAGAAGAGGAAAAGCTATGTAGATTCTGAAAGAAGTATGTGTTCATGAAGCACAATAGTATTGTGAAATGAAAGTTGATATATTTTGGGGGGCAATGCATATTTTCAGCAATTGGATATTTTAAGAGTACTTATTTAATAACCTCTTAAGACATTTTGAGTAATAAGATAAAAACATACATTTAAAAAATCATTTTTTGTTGTTGGGGGGATTACTTGTAAGGTCTACACAAGTCCTTCTGTGTACTCTCTGGATCAAGTAGTTGCTGGATTTCGAACACGAAGTCAAATCCTGCTGGGTCACATAGAAGAACAAGATGAAGTCCTCCACTGCCAATTTTCTGATAACAGTGATTATGAAGAATCAGAAGGCCAAGAGAAATCTGAAATTAGGTATGTTAAATATATACTGGTTTAATAAACATATTATAATTTTATGATGCAATAAATATATACAGATGGAGGGTTTTTTTTTATTAAAATGTATCTTTTCTATTGAAGTAACAGTAGGTAGTTTTTGATAAATGTGCTGTCAACTAATGCATTATGAAACCAGTGTTTGAACACAGTCATCAGTCTTAAATTGAAAAATAATTTTGCTTTTAGAGCTTATATACTTATTGGATATTAATTTTTGGGAGAATGTTTTTGAATTTCCTGATTCTGCTACTACAGTGGCAACAAATATAATGAATTTCCTACTAGGCCCAACATGGATGGGAATATTAGTAAAATTCTGTTTATTTTATATAGTTAATAATTCTTTTAACATTATAATCACTTTTGGGGGACACTAATTTGAGGGCAGATTAGCAAACACTAACAGACAAGTTACCTTTGATCCTGATCTTTGTTTTTTTAGACATAGAAATCACTCATGGATTCAGAAGCCAGACTCTGTTTGTTCTCTTGTTGAATTGAATGATATTCATGATCAAACACAAAAGTCAAGTTTGGGGAATGAAGGTACACAGATTTTAAGTAATTTATATCTAGTGTTTATAAGGCACTTCTCTTTTTCTTCAGTCAATAATTTAAGAAGCATCTAGGAATTTTCAATGATGGGAACTTGGTAGGAGTGTTTTTCTTATTGGTAGAACTTTGTATGTTCTGTGCTCTACTTCTAATTTTTTCCTTCATTTTTACTCCTTAATAAAATTTTTTCCCCATCAATCAATTTTGACTAGAGTTACAGGCTAAGTCTCTCAGAATAGGGATTTTATATTCAAGCCCAAGTTGCTATGCACTGTACTCTTGACTACTTTAAAATGTATCTTACGTAATTTACTAGGTGTCTGCTTTCCTGCTTCATTGGCACACATGCCTACCATTAGTGATGTACCCTTGGCATTGGAGCCAAATAGTCTGCGGGTGCTCATAATATTCGAACACACATTATTTGATGCATAACAGCATAAAATGTTTATGTTCCAAAAACTACAGTAGGAAATTTTAACTAGTTTATATTGGCCTATGAGTGGTTAAAGCACAAAAAGTAAGAGTATAGAGAATATAAATAACATGATAAATAAGCCCTATACTATGAAAATAGTCTTTTTAAAGAGGCTATGCATATAATATTTAACAAAAACTTACCTATATGTCACAAATAAAACTTAAATAAGTTAAAAAATGTGTAAGTAATATAGATAAGTACTAGTCAAATTACCACTCTTGAACTGTTTGTTACTGATCTACAACCAGGAAAGAAACTTATGCCAGAATGTATATCAGTGCACTAGCTCCTTCACTGAGGAAGTCTCCCTGTGAAAAGAAAGATAAGCTGAGCCCTGGCTGGTTTGGCTCAGTGGATAGAGCTTCGGCCTGCAGACTCAAGGGTCCCGGGTTCGATTCCAGTCAAGGGCATGTACCTTGGTTGTGGGCACATCCCCCAGTGGGGAGTGTGCGGGAGGCAGCTGATCGATGTTTCTCTTTCATTGATGTTTCTGGCTCTCTGTCCCTCTCCCTTCCTCTCTGTGGAAAATCAATAAAGTATATTTTAAAAAAAAGAAAGATAAGTTGAACTTATCTTAAATGGGGACATAGTTGTTCCAGTGTAAGTAAGAACAAAACAGTGCTGGTCCACACTCAAATAATCTGGTGTGGACTAGATTCTTTTATTACTAGAAGACTAAAATAATAGGAAAAATTCAACCCTATACCCACCTGGAGATTTTATACCTTCCTTAAATAACTCAAGTAAATACTCAAATTGCAGAATATCTAAGGGCAATGAAAAACTGTATCAGAACCTATGGGATATGACTAAAGCATATATAAAGACTTACTGTCAGCTAGAAAACTAAAGTCCCAATTTCCGGGTATTTTTTCCTTGTTTTCCTTAACTGTTTCTGTCCCTTCCTCTGCTACCTCTAGACACCTTCCGTGTTCACTTTTCTTTTTTAGTTCCATTTCTGTTGAATATTTTATAAGCTGATAGTTTTATTTTCCAATTTTGTTTCTTTTATTTTAAAGATTTAAAGATTGAATGTCTTCAGGAGAGTCAAGAGTTGAATTTGCAAAAATTAAGGCATTCAGAACTCATACTTACTGAAGCTAAACAAAAAATAAGAGAACTTACAATTAACATCAATATGAAGGAAGATCTGATTAAAGAATTAATGAAAACAGGTAATAGTAGCCTATGAACCAGCTAATACAAGAAAGAAAAGCTTCTAAAATTGTTTCTGATGTGTAACATTTACCTTAGTTTTTGATGCTCAGGACACTTCACTGTAGCTTGGCATTTGGTATAACAAGGTGTGTTTGAAAGCAATATGTGGAGGTTAGTTATTAAAAGAACTTTGTTATATTGGGATTCATCTATGAATTTTTCTAACCAGTGTGCTTTCTGTGTTGTGTTGAAACTCTGTGGCACTTAACTTTTTGGCCACTTTCAAAAAAACATCATACTAGACACTTGGAAATATGTTTGGGATGTTTTTCTAACTCATTTTAATAACTTTATTTTAAATTATTTTTTGGATATTTCATTTTTAGCAGTAATCATAAACAATATTTTAAATGTAGTTAATTATTATTTCTCTAAAGATATAAGGAGTTATTCTTGAAAGCTGTTCTCTTGAGCGAGCCAAGCTTTTACCTCTTACTTTTAGTCTCAAATTTCTGCCAGGTTGGATGTATGTGCCACACCTCCTCCTTACCCTCACCTACATTAGGCTTTTTGCATCCTCCCCTTCCCCAGATATACTCAAAGTATGAGCCTTGACTACTTTGAAATTCAGTTAAGAATTAGAGGAATAAGAGACACTAGCGTTTCTTTTCCCCAATTCCAATGAAAAACAACTCCAGTCACATTTAGGGGAACTGAAGGGAATATTATCCTCCTTTTCTTCAAGCCCCAGGCTATACTCACACCCAAACTACATGAATTATGATGGGTCCCAACTCCTCTGCCTGTTTTCCTACTTTCCCCCTCTTTCCTGCAAACTTGCTTTCTGGCTGACAGTCCTCCTTTCTAAACCGCCTCACCCTGCTCCTGTCCCAAAGCATTTCCTTCCTTATTCCTGGCGACCTGTGTGCTGTGCATCACCCCAGCTCCAGTCTCCCAATGTCTAACTGAGTTTGACCATCTTCCTTCCTCACAGGCAGGATCATTTCCAGTAAAACTCTCTTAGGAGTATCCAAGAACTGATTTAGGGGTTTAAATAGCTTCTCCGTCCCCAAGATTTCAGGGTACTGCCTGTGGAAGTTGAGGATATTTACCCTTCTGGTTATCCCACCATGGGAAATCCCATCCTGGATGCCTTCATATAGAGCAGCGGTTCTCAACCTGTGGGTTGCGACCCCTTTGGGGGTCGAACGACCCTTTCACGGGGTCGCCTAAGACCATCGGAAAACACATAATTACATATTGTTTTTGTGATTAATCACTATGCTTTAATTATGTTCAATTTGTAACAATGAAAATACATCCTGCATATCAGATATTTACATTACGATTCATAACAGTAGCAAAATTATAGTTATGAAGTAGCAACGAAAATAATTTTATGGTTGGGGGTCACCACAACATGAGGAACTGTATTAAAGGGTCGCAGCATCAGGAAGGTTGAGAACCACTGATATAGAGGATACCTGAACTTACCCAGAGAAGGTCCTCTTCTTACTCATTATAACCACAGACAGTTTGGAGCTTTCCAAAGGACGCTTAGAGATGGTGACCAGCAAGAGGTCAATGTGTGCTTACTTTTCAAAGGTGCCTCAATGAAGATTTCTCCTGAATAGCAACTACTTCAGACAACAATAACAGTGACTCTACTGTATTTCATCAATTCTAATACACATTTTTCACATTTTAATATCTCTAAAATCAGGATGTATGTTATAATCATTGGCATCTTAACATATTATCATGTCATTGGTTCATTGGCACTGTACCTTTTTTCTTAGTTCATAAAATATGGTGTGTTGAACACTCTGTGGGGCCTTAGATTCATTAAAATATAGTGGTTGTAAGTATTTTAAAGTTAGTCAAATTGCTGAAACCGGTTTGGCTCAGTGGATAGAGCGTCGGCCTGCGGACTGAAAGGTCCCAGGTTCGATTCCGGTCAAGGGCATGTACCTGGGTTGCGGGCACATCCCCAGTATTTTAAAGTTAGTCAAATTATCACAGAGTTGCAGAGCCAGTGCATTTAGTTCAAGAACTCCTTTTTATGAAAATATTAAGAGATTTTCAGTATAATAGTGTGTGAAACTCTCCCTGGCAATTATTCATGCCATGACCTCTGGGCTCTTATTTCCCACTGCCATGAGTTTGCTAATCTAGTTTAGGGACAGTTGACTATTCAAAACCAAGTTTTTAGGTTTAGTAGCTGAGCTTAGAATGAAAAGAGATATAGAAATATCTTACTCTGTTTTTCTCTGTGTTCTAAATATTCATAAGAGAAGCATTGAGTGATAAAAACATCAGTGATGAGAGAGGATCATTGATTGGCTGCCTCCCACATGCCTCACACAGGGGGTCGAGCCTGCAAGTTGGGCATGTGCTCTGACAGCTGGCATTTTGAGAGTAGAGCTTTTTTTGCCCCACCTGGTTTGGCCAGCGGATAGAGTGTTGGGACTGAAGGGTCCCAAGTTAGATTCTGGTCAAGGGCACATACCTCTGTTGCAGGCTCCCTGGGCCCTGGTGGGAGTATGTGGGAGGCTACCAATTAATGTGTCTCTCACACCAGTGTTTCTCTCTGTCCCTCCCCGTTCCACTCTCTCTAAAAAGCAATGGAAAAAATATCCTTGGGTGAGGATTAAAAAAAAAAAAGAATACAGCACTTTTATGTTTTTGATGTTTTACTTAGTTTTTTAAAAAATATATAATAATTATTATTATTATTTTGGTGAAGGTAATGATGCCAAGTCTGTAAGCAAACAGTATTCTCTGAAAGTAACGAAACTTGCCCACGAAGCAGAACAGGCAAAAGTGGAATTAATTGAGACAGAAAAGCAGCTACAGGAACTGGAAAACAAAGATCTGTCTGATGTTGCTTTGAAAATAAAATTACAGAGGGAATTCCGTAAAAAGATGGATGCCGCAAAGCTGAAAATCCAGGTAATTTTAAAATGTAATTGAGAAAACCTATTTAAAGCTTTCTGCTTTTGAGGATTCTTGTACCTAGTTAGGAAAGAAATAGGACTCAGTTTTTAAAAAATATATATTTTATTGATTTTTTACAGAGAGGAAGGGAGAGAGATAGTCAGAAACATTCATGAGAGAGAAACATCAATCAGCTGCCTCCTGCACACCTCCTATTGGGGATGTGCCCGCAACCAAGGTACATGCCCTTGACCAGAATCAAACCTGAGACCCTTCAGTCCACAGGCCGACGCTCTATCTACTGAGCCAAACCGGTTAGGGCTAGGACTCAGTTTTTACCAGCAAGAAAAACTGGAATGCAGCTTTTCCAGAGTGCTGGTAGGTTTACATAATTTTGATCTGGGTAATATATTTCTGCGTTCAAGAAGTACATTATTTTAATCTTTTCTAAAAAACCATAAGGTAAGAAATAAAGATAACCATGGAAATAATGTCATTTTTGGAAGGACATGCAGTTTTAAAAATTTCTGTGCCTTTGACATATCTATGCACAACTGTTGGAGAAGGGGATGAGGAAGATGATGAGGATGGTGGAGGGGGTTAGGAGGAGCATGATAGTTGCCAGTTGTTAAGTGTCTACAAGGTGCCATATACATACTGGGTGTTTTGTATGCATTACTTAATCATGATTTAATCCATTGAAGTGAGTATTTTTTTACCCTCTTTTATAAATGATCAATCTGAGATTTAGAAAGGTGAAATAACTATTTCAAGGTCACATAGTTATGACAATACCATCTTTCAGTATTCTAACATTCCATTTTAAATATTGAAATGCTACTTTTTGTTTTGTTTTTGTATAATGAAGTTATTTCAATTCATAAAACAAAATTTTTAAATTAAAAACCCTGAAATTTATATTCTTTGTTATTAAATATATATATAGCTATATGCTGCATTAATATTTTGATGCTAACTGGTACACTTTTAAGCATCTGTGGAATAAATGTAAAAGATAGTGATATCCTTTCTCACTTAAAAAAATGTCTTAGAGGAAGTGAGAACGACAGAAACATTACTGTGAGAGAGAAACATCGACTGGTTGCCTCCTGCACGCCCCCTACGGGGGATCAAGCCCACAACCTGGGCATGTGCCTTGACTGGGAATTGAACCAATAACCTCTTGGTGCATAGGTTGATGCTCAACCACTGAGCAACACCGGCTGGGCCCTATCTCACTTTTAAATAAGATTTTCAGTACTTACAGTGATGTGGAAAAGACATTAAAATGCTAGCAGCATCATTTTGCTGCAGTTTTGCAATTACTCTCAAAATTAAATATAAGTTCAGTTTTATATTATTTTAATTTTTCCATGTACATGTAATATTTTTAAATTACAACCTATACTAATAATAGATGAATATGCAAATTGTCCAGGACGCCATCACATAACAACCAATCAGATGGGGCGGGGCCGCGGAGGAGAGCTCTCAGCACGCCTGCGCCGGGGTTCTCAGCACGCCTGCATGTGGAGTGGAAGGGAGAGCAGATAGGCAGTTAGGGTGATCAGGCAAGGAGGGGAGCGCAGATAGGCAGTTAGGGGGATCAGGCTTGCAGGGGAGAGCAGTTAGGCAGTTAGGGTGATCAGGCCTGCAGGGGAGGGCAGTTGGGGGATCAGGCCAGCAGTGGGGAGCAGTTAGGCAGTTAGGGTGATCAGGCCAGCAGGAGAGGGCAGTTAGGGGGATCAGGCTGGCAGGAGAGAACAGGCAGTTTGGGGGATCAGGTCAGCAGGGGAGAGCAGTTAGGACCATCAGGCCAGCAGGGGAGCAGTTAGGGGCATCAGGCAGGCATGCAGGTCAGCAGTTAGGAGCCAGTGGTTCCAGATTGCTAGAGGGATCCCAGATTGAAGAGGGTGCAGTCCGGGCTGAGAGACCCCTCCCCTCCCCGTCCCCTGTGCACGAATTTTGTGCATCAGGCCTCTAGTACTCATTAATAAAAAGCAAAGAGATTAATTTTGTTTTGTTTGGGTGTGGGCACCAAGAAGCCTCATCATCCTTTACGTATAGCTAGTGAAAATTATGGTGGTTTCCAAATTGTAAAAGTAAAAATGTA